ATATGTAGAGAAAGAGTACATTTTTTGCTCGTTTTCCCTTTATGGTAAAACGAAAACATTGGTCAGCAAAGAATTTAAAATGTACAAAAGATAAAGTCAGCAATCGTCATAGTGTAAAGCAAAAACTAGTGCTACTTAGCAATGTAAGTAACAATTACTATGAAAAACCGAAAAGCTGGTTTACCATGACCTTGCGATATGTCTATTAGGTCTATAAATGTACATTTACGGGTACTTTAGTACGTGGAGATACTCGGATGTATCATCGTCCTGTCGTACTTTCTGTTCAAACACATCATTGTACCGCTAAAAAAATATTGCTTGATATTAGATTAGTCGTTATTTATAATAAAATTATTAATAAATATATATTTATATAATAATAATAATTATTATTATTAAAAAGACGACTTAGAGACTTAAAGACGATCTTTAAACATGGTAAAACGGTACCAACAGCTTCTAGGAAACACTTTTAGAGGAAAATTCAAATTTATACCTCGTTGTCAAACGAACAGATGGATACATGCTATATTACCTCTTTACTAATATATATGTTGCATAATATCGCCCTGTTTATCTGTGACAATGTAAATGCGTAAGCTACCAGTGCAATCTTTAAATCTGCAGATCCGTGAACGGATAGAGCTATTCTTAGGCATATTTTTAGTGCAGTTGCGACGAAGGTCAAGCCTTTACTCACCTTTAGTATCTATAGAAACCCCTTTAGATTTTTACTCCCTCCGTATCCCTATATACGCTTCACATCAATCTTTTATACAATACAATAGCCACCTAAATAAGTAAATCTGTAATTATGGAGCCTTTTACGACGAACGCATCTGAGTGCTTAACGCACACACAGAAATCCTGACTTGGAGCAAAAAAACAAGCTCTCGAAGATATCACATGCAAGTTGTATTGATTTTGTCAAGCACTCATCTGAGCACTGAAGCGGTCACCTACGAGTTGAATGGTACCCAACGGTTAGTTTTTTTTTGCTTAAAAACGACCGTGACCGATTTGGAAAAAAATAAGATTGCGCTCCTTGATTATTTAGGATATGATTGGATGGGACGTTGCGTAGTTATCAAGTGCCGCATTATTTACTGCGAATTCACGAGTCTGTGGGTATAATTTAAATAATAATAACAACATTAAATACCTGAATTGACAATGTCCATTAAGTATTTTGTGGCTTCAGAACTCGTGGTACGCTTTCGAACGACAATCAAGTGTTCCTCGTAATATCTCAGATATTGAGTTTCAAGAAAGTATTGATGGTATCACTTCAGACAAGCTTCAGCACTGATATTAGGCTGATATTTTCGTCGCTTAAGTTGTAGTTTTGCTTAAACTAACAACCTGATTTTGGGAATCGTTTTGATGAAAGTTGAGATCTACATGCAGTTTTTTATAAATTATACAGTATTACTTGTTCTTCCGTTTAATCATATGTATCATTTAGTATATGTTGAGTTGTTATTACAATATTAGTGTAACCTTGCAAAAAAGAAATTGTAGCTCTACCGAGTGCATTAAGATGGAAAGGCTAGGTCGTCTAGCTGTTAGTTAAGAGGTTGCCTTTTAGACACCACCAACTTTGCTAGCGGACCGCTACAATGAAACCAAAGAATTTTTTTATTTTTTCATTAAATATCCTGTCCCTAATATCTGTGTACTGGTATAGCCAGTGTTACATGCGATACTTCGTTCGAGGTTATCTAGATTCTAAATTGCCACAACTTCACCGTGATATTCGAAATATTGTATCATCACAATTTGGTTAGATTTTACGACATATATATCGATTAGTTGTTCATTGAAGCCCCGATTAAGTTCAGTAATGCTGGTCGTCAAGTCAAATGTAAAACGTAGAACAAATGCAATCTCAGCACTGAAGGAACTCTCTTCTTTATACATTCTTGTATGAAAAGCTTTTGTTTTGCCATGCAGGTAGAAACTCGACCAACTGCTGATCGATTTTGGCTCGCAGCAGCGTAACGTAAAATCTGCGCTTACCTTAAACCTTTAGTAATTTTGAGCTAGAAATTTTTAGCGCTTTATGTTGTCATAATAAACGAAAACGGAAAAAAATATTAAGATCAAAAATCATTTCCCATATAGTTATTTTAAAAACATTTTGAAGATTGTGTTGTATTGTTCTGCATGGCGCTACTAGGGCTTAAACTTCGCATGTTGCTTGCTTAGTAGGCATAAATCTATAATCGAAGCAATTCACGTATCATAAATTAAATTATCGTCGTAGTAATACTTATCGTATCTTGTAGTGCGGCGGCAGTAACAAGGTTTTCTAATTGTACCTATATTCCCGCCACAGTCACGACGATTTAACGTGTGCAGATTCTTGTAGCGAAATTGGCTATCTAATTCTGAGATGCCAACGAAGTCGTTCGCTGTGTTAATCTCCACTATTTGTCCAAGAACACACGACAGTATCAATCATCAATAGGTTCTTAACATCATGGCCATCTGGGAGAATAGTCTAGGCCAACACAGTTGCGTCGAGTTATTTCGGCGACGCGATGCAGGTGATCTTGGGATCGAATCCGACCGTCCTCTTCGTAACCTCATCAAGGCTCCCACCGAAACGGCGGTTCCTTCGGCTAGACTTCGCTCAATTCTCCAACTAAGTAACCTGTCTCATATGACCAGCCACAGCGTATCCAGCAACCGGGTGCGTAACGCCGGCTACAACGATCTGCTCGAACGACTGTCGCTATCGAGGGACGGCCTCTTTGGATCGTACGTTCACCAGCATTCGTGTCACCAAGCTCACCAGCCGCACGTGTCACCGTCATACGGACACTATGCCGTGGATTCCGATCTGCCCCTGTTCAGTCATACTTCGTCGTACAGAAGCACTTTATACGGTCCCGGTGGCTCTAGCTTGGAAAGCTTGGAACAATGTGGTTACGCCAACGAGATGCATGGCTCGCATAGGCATGTCCATTCAATGCAGTTGCCTCCCAGGTCAACCTCTCACGAAAGTCACAAGGATCAGGAAAGCCAGTATAAGGAATGGATGGATAGACGGCGGGCGATGTGTCCTTGTTCGTCTGCGTTACTAGCTGCCAATCCCCGGGCCGCCGGCATCTTTCTTTGTCGACGACGTTCGTGCGTCCATCAGCTGTTATCGCTCGAAACCGGTAACGCGACGCTTCCGATTGCCCTGAGCTGTGACGTGCAATTCCCGGCAGACGGTATGAAGGATAACGATATCAATATGAACCCCGTGAATGCCAGGTCGCCACCAAAATTGGCCCTGAATCCAGACGCACCAAAACTTGCGCTTAACCCCGACGCGCCGGTGTTCGTACCTCGTTCCAATACCATCGCCGCATCGGTAAGCCCGACATCCGCCGATGCTGAAGTGACCGCTGACGACACAGCTGTAGTTGCTGTCACCGAGCAGTGAGGTGCTCTCGAGACGTGTCGGCTTTAATGAACCTGACGGTAGAACAATTTATCCGGAACGAAAAGCAGGGTCCGAAATAATTTTTCGGCCCTGGGAAAACATTTGCTGGATCACCTCGATACATTCGGGCAGACAGGCCGTAATGTCCCGTTGTTGCTAACGGTGAGGTCTTAGAAACTGAGGAAGACATTGAAAACAATGATTGGTCGACGGAAGGATGGTTAGACCAGGGAACGATCTGTCAAGACCCTTCTGTGATAAGATTCTTGTTAGTAAATAAAAAAAAAAGTGAAAAGTTGATTGTGAAAGGTTTCGAGTTGGGCTCTTTTCTTTCTTTCGAGTTTCTGTTCATTCGGATTTTGTCTCAAGTTGTGCTCTTCTCTTTCATTCGAATATTATGGTTGTACCAATTAGGCCAACCAATAGTATGGATCACTATTGCTATATATATATATATATATATATATATATACAGCAATAGTGATTCATACTTGCTATATATATATATATATTATATATATATATATATATATAGTATATATATATATAGTTGTATACTATATACTATAAGTTGGACATTTAATGTTTCATTGAGTGATCGCTATACGTGTAACAGGTAGTTTCGTTAAAAATCGTATATAGTTACACGATTTAAAAAAAAGATCTGCTGACACACCTGCGCCGTAATTGTCAATTGAAGTCAACAAATTATTGAAACCGGTACCTCATGTAGTTCTATGTGCGTTTGTGCCTGACTGTACCGTGCTCTTAACAAAGGTGCTGAATTTTTGCACCGATAAATGGCACAATTACCTCTTTAAGAACAACGTTTTAAGACTCGTAGTAAATTGTGCTATGAGTGAAGAGCCATGACTCTCAATAGAGTGAAATTTATCATTGGCTAGAATATGAATTCCTGCCTAGTATGTAATGCTATCCATGAAGTGGCGAAATTCCTGCCTATATGATAAGCAAAGATTAGTAATTACAAAGTCTAGCTGCGCATCTTTAAAATCCTGTACATGTGCAGTACTATAAATGCGCTACTTAGCCTCCATTGGAAATTCTCATTTGTGTACTTGAGTAAGTGTTTTTCGTGGCCGAACCATATGTGTGTATTTTATGTCTAAAGTTTAATCATGAGCTACCCATCAGGAAACTTGTATTCACAAAAACTAATAATGGTTAACTATATTCATTCATAGATTTGATATATGCACCAGCACTATGCTTTGTGAACCATTTATTAGCACTTAGTAAACAAAAAGACCAAACTGCGGTATGTTACGGGCTGTAGGCGATGTAGATAAAAGTATTATTTAATATTATGATTATAATTACCTTACTAGTTATTTTTATTATTATTATGTTATACAAGTACCACTGCATGATTAGGCCAACTCGTGAAAGCTTTTCGAAGTAAGGCTAAAGCCAGCTCACACACTTTACGACGCTGTAGATCCCATGTTTCAATCGTCTACAGCTGCTCAGACGTACTGGCGTCGTAATTCTAATAGAATCATCAAACGCGTTTGAGCTCCTACTGTTCAGCTGAAGCAGTTATGTCGCTTAGGGTGGTCCTGCCTGAGACCGACACCTTTCCTCCCGCCTATCAATTAAACACAAACATTAGGCGTAAAATATGATAGGCCGGAAATATACAACTGTTTTGCCCGCCCACAAAGCGTAGAAAAGACTACCAATTTTTGCCTAACAAAAAATAAGTTACTACACTTGAATTTGTCTAAGAATTTACATGGTCAAATACGCAACAAGCATTACATATATGTACAATCGCTAGAAAGAAAAGGAACTGATGTTTTGCAGAATCCTATGTATCCTAGTAGTATCCTTAGTAGATATCCTAGCAAATCGTCTGTTTATCGAATCAAAATTGTGCTTCAGCTAAAATAACTTCGATGCGATAACAATTCGTTTTGCTTGCTCCTTGTTGATCTAAGTCTTTGACAATTAATATTTTTCCAGTGTTCCCTTGCCCGTTCGTTGTCGGCAGCTACTCTTCTCCTGTACGACTATTATTAGAATTCGCGATCTATGGTTTTCTGCTTTAAATGAAGTTGAAACGCTTCTGTTGACTCAGAGCCACGTCAAGTTTGAGGCTTATGGGCTTGATAATAAGAAATGAAATAGAGCATCAGTCAATAATGACAAGCAGAAGCGAGCTACTTATCTTTTAAAAAATGAAGGGAGTTTAGTATTGACGTGTACCGTGAAATGGCTTTGCGAGGCTAATTTCAGTGAGAAAACGGAAAGCCGTTTGGAAAAATCTGCGATATCGAGGCTCGTTTCCCTATCAGTTCATTCAAACAATCTTTATTTTTATTTACTGTCATGTAATTGGTGGCTTTTGCGTCTATTGTTAGAGGTAAACGAGTTTTGGTATCAGAGAGATTAAACTGTTAACACCGCAGGAGAGCCCTTTCTCTTAAATTACGGTCCTACCATATCGGTGGGACAAAAGTTGGCTTACAGTACGAGGTGAATCTGTTATTGGGAGAAGTGAACTTTCGGCTACGAAGAACACAGAAGCCAGAGCCACTTCTGCCAAATTTTCGCCACATATTTCTTATGTGTATAATAACTTTTGTTTATATTTTATATGCTGTCATTGCTTTTTATTTTGATCCTTTAATTATTTTATTCAATTTCAGGGATTGAAAATGTTTGATATTTTTTTACACGCATCTACTCAAGTTCAATGGTTCAAATCATGAATTGTTGTCCCTTTTTGCAAAAAAAGTAGTACCGAATTTTGAAATCTCAAAGTAGCTGCAAAAGATAATATCTCATGGGTCGCAGATACGGTTGCGAACCGATCAAGCAAGCAGGTCTTAGAGTAAAAGAGAGGTCTCAACAATTCAGATATTTCACGTTGACAAACGAAATAAAAGACTGGCACAAAGTGTCAAAAAAATAGTTCAAAGGCTAATTTATTTACTAATCGTTCAGACAATGCTGCCACAAACCTTTCGAGCGAGCATGAACATTACCGCGAAAATGGAAAACATTGTCTTTTAGAAGAGGTTCGTTTAGAAATATTTGCAGCTGGAGTTACAAAGCTTGGAAACAGGTACATTGACGACAATGACTTCCTGCTCAACTCTTCTAAATAACGTAAATGAAAATGTGGATGCTTTGTATACCGATACGATATTAGAGAATTGTCTCTTGCTTTAAATGGTGTAAGTAGGTATATGCTTAATTTAGCTACTACGGATGATACTGCGAACCTATAGGTGCACTTAAGTACAGATGCCGTTGTTCGCAGTCGGGTTTGGACTACCGTTGCAACTAAAATAGCGCTTATAAAGTATTCTGGATTGTTTGATCGAGGTACCAGGCAGCATATGATGGTACTAATAAACGATCAATTTGGCACCTGTAAATAAGAACAGCGAGTCTTCATGAATCCTCATTGCTTTAACGGAACATTCAGAAATGTGGATTCGCTCGCAATAGAATCTTCAGTTGTTTACTTGATTCAATTTCATCACGTTTACAAAGTCATTTTAGGTTTAGGTTAGCAACTGAGAGCAAAATACTGACTATTAGAACATTGCACTGCACCAGGCGCAATTTTCTATGGGTCTCGCCGCACAAAATCTGCCTTTCTTACTGATTCGAATGTTTACAACTGAAGTTAATATCACTAATTCACTGAGGCACTTCCGTTGTAAGCCACCGGGTTTAATCTGTGCTTCGGAACTTCTTGTCACTACCTACCGTCCGTAATATAGTTAATGTGTCCGCTCGGTTATAACTCAACGACATCTTTCATTGTATGACAACTTTGGAGAGTTAATAATCAATTATTTTCTAAAATTTCCACGGATGGTTATTCGTACGGCCATTTGACGTTAAAATTCGCGTTTACATGGTCTGCGGTACAAATAAAAATTCGTATACCTTTTTATGTCAGACGATTCATAGTGTCCTTTGGTAACCAAAGGCGTGTATAACTGACTGACTTTATTAATGGATTTTTTTTCTTTTAAATAACATATTTTTTTAACTGGCTCATTCTATCTAAATTTACAATTAGTTTTTTAACCTTTTACTTATTGACCTATTACAGCGTAATGTATAATTCTTCCAATACATCAGCATAATGAGCCTAATGGAGTTGTTTAAAAACTCATGACAGGTATCCTTGTCATGTACGATGATATCCATTGTCAAGCTATTTCAGATCACGGAACCCTTCATGAGGTGTCACCTGTCCCATACACTCGTCCGTCCTGATCGCCAAATATTTTCGTAAAAGTAAAGGATTATAATGATGTTATTGATAAAATCTAATAGAAAGAACGTGAATAGTTTTGAGCCGGCAGCAGAGCTTCCCACTATTCCTTATGGCAAATGTTTAAAGTCGCACGTTATCCATACGACTAATTAGTTTAAGTAGCGGTTGCATTTGGCGACCCGGTCAGGTGTAAGTCCGCTGAGCGGGATGAGAAAACCGAACATCGGTGTGTCTACCAGCAACAATTGGTGCGAGACTTTAATCTCAGGTCTGCCGTTAGGCGATTTGCCTGACGTACTTGCAGCCTGTCCTGGATGGTTCGTAAGCTTTTCTCCCCCTTGAAATAGGATGGTAAAGAAATATGTTTGCGCTAAAGTTAAGACAGTCATGTCATGGACGAAGCGAGCAGCCTCAAGTGGCGCAGGAACTGTTTCAATCGGATTCAACGGACGGACCAAAAATAGTCCTGGCATCTCGTATACTTCGCGACGTTTCATTGTAACAGTACCTGACGAGGATCAGCAGAAATAGCAAGGCGTGTTCATTGTTATCATCAATATGAACAGATAAAATGCATTAGCGTGATTGTAATAAGATCACAATAGTGAACCCAATAAAATACATGATATCGGATTCAGATAGATATAGGGATGAAACATGGTTCTGGATATTATACATGTCAAATATCCTAGATACTTCATAAATCATAGGCTTCACTTGAATGATCTATATTAAGAATAATCCAAATCCCACTGATCATCATGCTTTAACTCTCATTCAAGGTCTCCTTTTTCAATGTAGAAATAAGACTATGGCAACGTGGTTAAAGAAAGAAAGATCGGTGCAGGTGACGACGATCATTACGAATAAAAAAATCATGCCTATAACCGATATTGGCTAATTAGTAACTATTCAAGAACAATAGCAGGTTATTAGTGAAGTCCATATCTAAACACGTTCAAAAACGATTATATTATATAATAATAGTAGTAATAGGTAAGAAATACGGGGGCAAAAATGATTCGAAAGTACAAAATCAGCTAAGAATAGCTCTCGTTAACCACATTTATACGTAATATAATATTTTGAAACCATGGCTTCATAGCAATTTGTGAGTTTATCAATCACACATAGTCGACACATCAAAAATCCACAGACGCTAAAAGCTAGAATAAACTAGAATACTACAAGATGTTAAAAAACAACCCAAATGTAAACTTCTAGTATTTAATTTAGTATAGAATTATAATAACCAAAAATAGAGAAATAAATCCTATTTGAATCTGAGTGTACTCAAAAATAAACGTGACAGATGTGAAATGTAATAGAACCACTACTGATTTGCCCCTATATCAGTCAATAAATTGCTCCAAAATGATAATAGGTTAAGGATAATTTCGACCACTTGTTTTGACTACTCGTTTCTTACATCGCATAAAATACTTGTACACGCACTTGAGCATATAACATCATAGCTGATTCTAAGGGCTCTGCAAAGATAACCTTCATTTCTGAACAAGCACCATAATGCTTATTTTGTTGTAGTATTGCATCTCTTTTTTCTGCAAAAAACACATTGCTTTTTGTTCTGCCTCGGGATTAGGGTTTGGTAAAATTTGTGGCTCATCGTAACCAGCAGCATTACGAGCTACACCAAGCCACAGTGTTTTCGCGAAAACAGTGTGAAGACCGAGTATATAATGTGCTTAGTACCTGCTACAATTTGTCCATCGCACCCCCGGTTAAGCACTTGCAGTTCGTAGCGATCTTGATGTCGATTGCCTCTTGGGCTAGATATAGAGGTCACCACGCAGGCAAGCACTCCACGTTCGCCTCGAATGCAGACAAGCTGTCCTTCGTTGACCTGCTGAACCGCAAGAGGTTTCAAAGATTCGCGGAGTTGATTTTTGGGAATTTCCTCGCCAAGAAAATTGGCCAGGTGGAGCACGCCGTCGTCGTCGATTTCCGCACACGTGACCACTACCATATCGTGGACTGTATTGACGTTGCGTCGGATAAGGCCAAGTACCTATACAGGAAGGATGCCACGCAGTCACGTTAAGTCTAGCAGGTATACGATACGTAAAAGGCTACAACACTGCTGTTGTTCTACATAAAAGTATAATATGTTATGGTGGGGGTTAGCTGTACCCTCAAAATAATTAGATCACCTAAATGCGTAATAAATAGGTTTACTTTGCAAAAGAAACCACTAAACGTGTTTATCAAAACATCGAGTTGCTTGACCTTTGGGCTTATTCCTTATATGACCGTAAACTTATTGAGTCAAATTGACGCCGTTAACCTATACGTACGTTGATTCAATATGAGGCTACTTATGGTCGGGTATATATACAGACGTTTTGCACAACTTCTGGCATAGCAAACAAGGTTCTGGAGTCGAACCCTACGACTCGATGTTTCTTCGTTCGGGTATAAAAGTGTCTCAGGCGAAATCTCGAAAAGAACGAAAACAAGAACCTATTTCAAACGTTCTTTAAATACGGACATACCGTAACCTCCATTGGATTAATGAGTCTCCAGGTTTTTTTGAATCCGTTGTGTATCATTTTTGTCCCATTGGAAGACTCGATGATGGCCGGCCTCTGAAAAACAATCGTTACTAGAAATATCTGCTCATTTACATATTTTCCCTACCATGTTATGTTACTATCTGTTACAATAATATAAGATTACATATACGTCATCACCATCGACCTTTTCTTGTACAGTGAATTGGACAATCTGTCACGTAATGCAGGTTAGTAGGACGTGGGTAAATAAAATTTTCTTACTCCGTCTATAAGCGTGAATTTTAGAAAAAATTAAGGAAATCGTTGTGACGGAAAATCGTCGTATGTGTCTACGGATTATTTTGGTTTCGAAAAAAGATTATTTACTGATTGCTCGAAAATGTGACCGTCCAATTACAAAAATCTTTGGAACCCTTGATTGGATAATGATAACAGTATAATTTTAACAATAATAATAATGATATCTCTATGCCGAACGATAAAGTTCAAATCTAATACTTACATTTTTGTACTAAACTTCAGCAGAATCGAAAAATAACTACCAAATACATGTATATATGCAAATGCGGGCATTTCAGTCGTCTTATAGCCAATGAGGCCGGACGTACTCACCCGAAGGGTTGCTATAAATGAGCATTCCGAATCAAAATGACCATTGAATACGAAAAATAAATACGGTTTGATATATTTGTTCATACCTTATCATGGGCATCATGGTCATTTGCTAAAGAATAACGCCGTCCGTTACACCTTTTTCGATAACTCTTTGACAAAAGGTCAGGACGCAGGTGATCGAGTGGCCCTTGAAATTCGCTATAATCTGCAGGATGGAATCTGTCCTTAGTCAGTTTTATTTCAAAAGCAAGCCGTCTCAGTATTTTAATAAATCAACTATTTTAGAGTAATCAATTTGATTTAGATCAATCAGGCCAGAATATAATATAGACCGTATTAAGAGTTGTTGTAAGTATACGTCCCTTATAATTTCCATATAAACCATGGTTATTATAATTAGTTAACACGGAATCGGAGCGGATCGTTGTAATAGATGAAACGTCTAGAAATTGAACATAACCAAATTAAATGCTACCGTGATGGGATCATGTACATGTATCTAATAATGCATGTTCTTCGGAGTGTTTGATACAATATTTTCGTAATGATTACATATTCCGGCATCAGTTTACTTAACCACTGAGCTCTTACTTGTAGGCACCCAAAGGACAAGTCATGCCAACAACTTATTGTTAGTTAAGTGAGCATATATTAGCACTAAGAACTCAACACGAACTTATAAAGCCTTCGCAAAAAACTAAACTCTGATCCATGGAAGTGCCATACCAATGCACCAGCCAACTGTACGCATGTTTTTTTTTTGCGCCAATGGTTTTCTTTGGGAAGATACCATCAATGGAACGAATGGTTTTCATATTGTGTTTGAACACCTTATAATTATCGTTTCTTGCTGGAGCTATCAGTGACTTAGTGCGATGTTATATACTTCATTCATGCCTCAATGCGCGATCATGTATCATTTGATATCCACTAGTCAATAGGTCATTATTGCAAGCTTAGGCTAAGGTCGAAGGTTGTGGTCTAAATTTTAGCAGATTATTTCTATTACCGACTTACTGTTTCCTGAGGCGTAGGACTCAAATGAGCCTGACACACCGCTATATTCCTGGCTGTCCATCCTTACGGTAGCGAATCGTAGGACAAGGCAAGCGATTAAGGTTTTTGTATGTAACCGAACGCAATTTGTCCTTATAAGGTTGATTTCCAACTCGAACTGAATATAGGCAAGATCCTAGGACATGCCATGGTGATACTGTGCTCAGGCGTTTTCGTGACGTGCAAAGCACGATAAGGGGGCGGGCGACGAGCACTGACCACGTGAGCCGTGTGCGTGCGTTTGCTCGATGCATTTAATAAGCATTGCAAGGTGAAGCACGGTTCGCACGTTTGCGGTCAAAGCGTAGTTGACAACATTTAGAAACCCAGTCTTTCATGCTCTACAATGAAAAAGATTTAATAAAGCGGTTAGGAGCCTTGTGGCTAGCGCTGTCACTAAGAGTTATTTTTTTAGCTTGAGTGCAGCATTGAGGAAGTTCGTTATAGTGAGAAACAACTTGTGTATCAGTGGATGAGATCACGCCCCCTAAACACGTTCGATCCACTAGAATTTCTTTCTAAAAAGAGCCTTAAGGGTCAACAAAAACAATGAAAGGGACCACATTTTTAGCAATTGACGTAGAATTGACCGAAGTTGCGGATTTTCATTCGACCACACATAGGATGTGAAACGATGAAAAGAAACTTGCGTGGAACTGTGAAAAGAAATTGCGTGAAAATCAGCGCTAGATATAACATACAAACCAAGTCGTCAGGAGGAAGTAATGATGGATCACTTTGCTTAGACTTCCTAATTACATAAAGAGATGATTGTAAAATTAACAGAAGTTTTCATTTGCATCAATATATATATATATATATATATATATATATATATATATATATATACTGATATGTTACCAGCTCCTTAAACCTTAAATTACTTCAGAATTTCTAACGTTTTTTTACTGTGCTATTCTTTCTGCATTCGTCTAGGCAAATCTTTTGTATTACAAATTAAACAATCGCTTTGAATGGCCCTCTCTTTTAGCTTATTTTCGGTCCAATTATTTCTTGTTAGGTCTGTTAGCTTTATCACAGTTAAGCAATGCTGAACCGTTAAACTACGAGAAATAATTCTCCAGGATGTCGAGTCCAGTGCTTTAAAATTTACGTTATAATCTAAGTCTCTACTTGATTAGCAAAGATAAATAGATATAAGTTTATAGTATGGTTATAGTATGGTTATAATATTAAATAAATATAAGTCGATAGTATTTGAAGCTTTTGGCGGTCGGCGACACTAGACAAAATAATGTGTCTATAATTATAGGTGAATTCAAGTTTTAAAATGTTAAAGTTCGAGTTGTTCAGTTTAAAAACCACGTTAAATTGGGTTCACATTATGCACTCCTATACTGCTATAATAAAAGCTTTACACTCAGCGAGGCAAAATGCTACGCTCATGATTTATTTCCAAACAATAGTTATCAAACACTTCTACGGGCATTTTCATTCAGTTAGTTCGAAACACCGGTTTCGTTATAGTATGCATCTGGATATATGTGGGTGAACTGAATAAGCTTTTATTCATCGAAGTTGTTGGGAATAACGTAAGGTTGTTTTTACCTTGCACAATAAAGTACGAAAGACGTGCAATCCTAACGTTATTTAAATGCAAATGCAGCACCTGGTGCTAAGGCAGGTATGCCAGAAAATTGACGTTACGGTTCGATGCTAGCAGTAGTTGCTCCTGCGATCAATGAACTTGGCACTCAAATTGCTGTAAACTCAGATTCCCAGTTGCAGGTAAGCCGCTACAACAGTACGAGTTTCTCATTTACCGGAAATCCGGCACCGGCTTCGCTCAAAGTGCTTCGTGTGTCTGATTTTGTTAAGTTCAAGGGTTGGGAGGCTTTACAAGGTAACGTGTTATGCATGCGGATGTCCGCTGCTAACATCGCGGCAACACGTTGTACTTAAAACGGGTAACTGTCAAGTTCCAATATCAAACAAACTTAATCAACAGCAATAAGTCTACTCTACTAAATCTTGTTCACAAGTCGCCCCACGAAACACATCTATGCATCCATCCAATCGAATTCTCCAACACCGTTCCTACAGATTTTACGTTGTATATGTAGCCCACTCAGTACCGTACAAATAGGCTGGCCGGTCCATTATTGAAGTCGACGAGGCTGAACTTTCCATTGTCTCATGAGAGCCAGTCGTCTAGCACTGTGTTATCGTACATTGTATTGTCCGGTAGATAATGTCTTCCACAGTGGCGCGTTTGGCGTGTCAATGTTTACGCCAACATCTAAAGCTAAAGTTATCGTACCGTTATTTCTGTAGTTTGCGCCTCCAATAAGTGTGACGTAGCTCCCCGTACTTTTGGATTCGAACATGTTTCTAATATTTGTAGATTTTAAGATAGGGATCAGCCAAACTAAGACGTGTATCTCCTGTAGTTCTCATCACTCAATCATCACCGGAACAGGTAGTCTTCGTCTTTACGCAAAGCGAAATTGTGTGGGCAAGCTCCTATAGGATTGTGATAGTTAGGGTCGCGTAGATCTTAGCAAACTAAACTTTATTACACAACGTAACGGCAAAAACTTCCATTTTCCCACAATATTTGGCAACCGATTCTTGCTTGTACTGTTATATATTGTACTTAACATGAATTCGATTTGAAACCGGGTGAAGACACACTTCGTTTTGTGCTTACAAAGGCCAGCCGTCCGAACTAATACTTAATGACAATACAGCACGCAAATTTTCAATTATTTATTTAGATAATTAGAGTTCTTATGTATCGAGCCCAACAGATGTTTACTGCACTAATGTTCACGTAAATTGCCCATTCATCTCGTGGAAACCGTATTAAACCTAATTATATTAGTTAAATGTGTTCATATACCTTACGTGCATCATTGTCACGATAGACGAACTTACTTGAAAACCAATGCAATATTATACCATAGGGCATTTTGAAATCGTCTGATCTCTTAACGTAAGTTTACTGCGTAGCTACATCTGTTCAGCATAAATACTGATGCACATTTTTTCTATCGTGTATATATTTAAAGCGCATTGAAACCACGACGCGTACAACAGGCCTTTGGCGTGGGCTATTCAAAGACAAAAAAACTAACGACCAGCCTTTAGCGCATTTGACTGGTTTCAGAATATTTTGCCGCGTTAACTACGTTGTCTCATTATATTATTTAAAATCATAATATAACGCATCGGGGCAGGTACGCAGTGGGAGGGTTTTTCTAAAAAATATCATCAATGGACAAAATTGCTTTTAGTCTATGACAAGCTTTGTAACTCTTACTTAAGCTATTAGAAATAAGTACACAAGTATATATGATATCAACGAACTTCTATCTTTATTAGACAGTTATGTCAGTTTGCGTTCAACCATAATAACAGCAGATACAGTCTCTCGATGAGCGGCTTATTAAAATAGTCCATTTTCACCACACCTAGCTATACAATTAAACAAGTTTATTGCGCGAACATTGTGAGAACTACTGTAAACAGGTACAAATAGTAAATGATACTGACGCTCATAACAATTTGCAATTATAGATCGCTACCTTTGCTCTTAGTGCTATTACAGTGTTTATTCAGTCGCCGCTTTCTTTGAAAGAGGGAACAAGTTCTTAGGCATCAAATGGCTTGCACAGATGACAACTAACTAGTCTAGCGCAATCGTATGACATGCTAAAACTTCAAATGCTTCATGACGGTGTTCGCGGCCGCCCCAAGAAAGAAAGCACGCCTGAAATGAATGGTAATTGAAATATAATGAAACGAAGAACGAAAAAAACGTTTGTGAGAGGTAGTACTTGATTAGATTGAATCATGCATATGAACAGGGCATAGAATCGATGGAGGTGCCGCCATAGATCTGTTGCGTCATTTAACCATGTTATGATGTTTTATTCCGGCAGCTCATCCAAACGAAACGTCATATAAAAGCTACGAGGTCAAATCGAACTGTCCTTATATCTTGCATAGGCCAAATGTAAGTTTTTGTTTTTCAAAGCGGTTGTATAAAACCGTAAATTATATCTCTGTTTTTAAAAGACGCTACAGGCAGTGCTTCCGAAGTGGTCCATAACTTACAATCGCTGATTCAAAATAATAAAGCCCCAACAAACACCCCTACGAATTTACTAACTTCTGTGTTTTTCACTATCGACATTAGAGTGGAGATTCATTTGTAACGCTTCAACAGCGATATTTCAGAACGCGTTCACCGTACTTTTCTTTAAAGTACGGGGAACAGGTACACCAGACGATCATTTGCATGCCACTTTGGAAACCGCATATAATTGTTGGAAATATGGGTGCTAGGAACCAGAGATAAACCTGTTTCGAAAGTTGAAATTTTCCAGGAGTCATGGAATCGCGATGGGGAGCTCGCGCAATGTACAGGGGTTCGCCATCTTTGGTCTTTCCAGCTTGAATGGAGCCCGGAGGTAGCCTACAGGGGGCAGTGCACGCAACCCATTCAAGGATGCAATCTGACACCAACACCTGTTTGTCAAAACAAAAATCGAACTCACTCATTATGAGTATTATGTAAATTTAGCATTAGTTATGTGCAAACCAGTTATATAACTATGTATTTGTACCGTGACTGAAGTTCAGGGAGTACTTCGTTATTCGTCCTCCACCGAAAAAAACCTACCAATTGACATTGTAGCATACATTTTGTGAATTTTCAATATCCCGCTATTGGTTCGTAGTGACAGGTCTATATGTCTTAGTTTGGAACCCAACCTCGTAAAACTCACTAAATACCGAGAATTATATATTGAACCTTTTGCAGCAGATGAGGGTTCATGCTTCTGAGCTGGCGTGACCTTTACGATTCCAAAGTAGTGTAAGAGTTGCATTTCAAAGCTAACGAGTAATCTAAACATAATCACCTCTTTCTCAGACTTGCCTAAAAGAATTGCTTTACAACTTCAGGCCACAGTATCGGGTATATAGGCGCAAGGCATGTTGGACGAAAATGACTAGGTGACTATCACTTAGTCAGCATAATAATCAACGTACATACACTCTTGAAATTTTTAAATATTTATAATTACTAAAAAAATTGAAAGTACAAGTGTATTACGGCTTTTCGAACCTCATATTCCCTATGACAATATTCTCGTCCATCGTACGGTATGTAAGTGACCCCATGCGAAGGAGCCAGTTTACCCGGAGTCAGATCGCCTCTGTGAATTGTTCGTGCCACGTACAGCTTTTCACCGTTCGAGTCTACTCCGCCATTAAACGCCATTTTGGGAACATATCCATTTGAAGCGGGTTGCCATCGGAGTCGTATCTCGTACGGAGTATTTGAAACTGCAAAATTAAGAAATAAAGAAGCATCTAATCTAACAACCGTTTATCGTCAATTGTTTACTCGTCATTATAATTTAGCTGTAAGCGTGCGTTAACTGATTTACCAATAATAGACTCGCATGGACAAAATGGCTCAATAATTAACCCTACCTATTAAAAATTACAACAGAATGATCAATTTTGGGACGGGTTATGAGCGATACGAGCACAGCAGGTGCCCACGATAATATACAAACGCAAATTTTTGCGACATGAGGTAAAGATAAAAATATTTCTTCATTAAAAAGTTCATCATAGTTTGGCAATTAGTACAGGAGTCTAAAACATATGGAAGTCAAGTAGCAACATACATACGATCTTCGGCCGAGTAGCCTTTATAATCGCGTTTTCGTAACCACTACTGTTAAGACACATGCTTCATTTTGAATTCGAAAGAGAATAGCTTCACAAATTACTATCGTCGCCCTTGTTTTCCGTCTATAATTATTTCCAACGCCGGGTCAATTCAAATGTTTTGGCAAAATTATACAATTTTTTAATGTAGTAGGTAATAGCGGATGATAAATAATTGATAAAATACGCTCTAGAAATTAAATGTCCAACAGCATTGGTAAATTGCTTATTGTCAACGGTAGCCAGTCATCCGTGATAATATGAATCAATTTTTGTATAGGTTTTCATGCGCCGGAAATCGGTACCAATGTATGAAGGTATAAGCAAAATTTAAACAATGATGTTCGAACTGATACAACGCTTAAATTTTCCATCATTTGCCTTTAACCAATTATTTATGTTACGAAGAATATCTTGACTCCAAGCGATTTTTAATCATGTTTTTCATATCTTACTTTTTGTACTTTTTCTGCAAATACAAATCTTTATTTGCTATCTGCTTTTGTTAAACGAATCCTAATAAAGGTTCCAACAACCAAGACCTCTGTCTTCAGTTTAACTTATCACCGAACATGGCAAAAGCGCTTCAATTAACGAGGGCGGCTTTTCTAAATTTAATTATTATTTACAACAATAAGTTCAATGCAAGTTCAATAATTATTTTTGCAGAGCTTGGGGGCTGGGTCGTAGTAAATTATCCCAACTTATCTCATAGTACAAATAGACACTCAGCTACGTGCTCTAATTAAGTGAAGACACATGTCTTCAGCAAATCATAATTTGGTAACAGTTCTAATTATGCGAAAAATAGCCTCTTTATTTCTCAAGCATTGACTAAGTAGCATTTTATTTGAATCCCACCTATTAAAAAGACAAAAACGAGGATAGAGATATATCAAAATTACATCGGTCAGTGTAATTCAATATCATCTCTTTCGAATAACGGCTAAAAACAGCACCTCCTATACGCCCGATAACCCTCTTAAAACTATCAAGTCCCGAACATAAAATCCAGATAATTTTCATATTGCTTGGGTACTTGCTTGAGTATCTTTATATACTTCTATATTCCCTTGCGTTCCACACAGCGGTTCGTTGCAATCAGCAGTTGTTCATGTTGAAAACGAAGAAGTCATTACATAAATATATAATAGCATAGCGTAACACCCACGCACATCTACAAACGAATGACTCGAAAATTATCCATATGGCAAGCCCATATATATCTATTTGGAATCAAAGCTGTTTACAGCTTTTTAGGTATAACTCATTCAGGTAGCCAGCTTGATTTGCACACACATGCTTAACTTACATGAACCATAGTAAGATGACAATTTACTGAGCCTAATACCTGAGAGGTTAACTGCTTTATTATTCGATAGTAGATAAAACGTTTCACAAAAAGTGTCCCACATAAATTAATCCCAGATAAATTAACTTGATCACTTGGGATAAGTCTAACCCAAGGGTTAGTGCTCTGCGAGAAAAATAAAATGGGTCTCAATGTACAGTTCGGTGTGCAATCTCTAACATCTGTGCTCGTTAAATTGTTGCAAACTTTACTAACCAATAAGCGTAAGTATGTGCAGTGATGTTAGCTATGCTATCAATCACGTCATCTTGAGAACGTCGCAAACTATCCGAGTGAATACGCCTTCAGGCGGTCCTTTCTTGATTAGACCCTCCTCGACTATTAAATCACCACGACGCGCTGGATATTTACAACTGCATTTAATCAGTATTTTGTTGGCTTATGCTGGTCACCATAAAGTGACTAAAGTTACAATTAAGGTTAAATGGAGTCTACAACGAGTAACTTTCATATCCTGCTATGGAATGTTATAGAACAAAATGATAGATATTATTTCCTGCTAAGTATTAAAATATTTACAGTAATGGCCTTAAGACGTATGCCCAACGAGACTGCTGAATCAATAAATAAACTAGCTCACCACAAACGGCCAGTTATCACCATATACTATATAACTCGATTTAAATGAATGCGAAAACATGTATATCGTAGATGTGAACCAGACGAAGATGCCATCGCTACGAAATGATATTTTCACATCACATTTTTGCATACCGATAAAAGTAAAAGCAAACTCGTTAATCATCAGGGCTAACCGTCAAAGATCCTGTCTACTAATAATCAAGCAGTGACTCGAATATTGGAATCGGCAAAGAAATCGCTTACGTATGGCGCACATTAGACAGATCATAGAGCAAGACAGCCTGAAATGTTAAATGGCACTTCATAAGCACGCTTACCCGCAAACCTTCGTCTATTAATACAAATGTGCACCTCTTATATCTATCTCTAAGACGCACCTCTCACAACAGCCAGCATAGACTGATTGAACTTAATGCTCCTTTCGATATCTCTCAATAGATCAGGAATGTCGTTATGGGTCCTGTCCTGTAGTTCCTGAACAAGACACTTATACTCGACTTCTAAATTACTTAAAATCTGGCCCTTCACGTCTTCAGGAGTCATTCCTAGCTGCACTCCAATAACAACTGATCGCCAAATATATAACTGTAATGGTTCGCCGCCTTTCTGTATACGATCATTCAGGTCGTCAATAAGTTTCCGTTGACGCTGCTGCGGTGAAAATTCCTCAAGAAATTTTGCTTTCCACTCATCGAACGACGACAGATTGCCGTTACCAGTCAAATGCCATGATCTAGCTGGACCCGTCAGTTTTGCTAGTAACACGCTTCGCATCTTTGCCTCTGTCCAAGCTCCGACATCTTTGGCAATCTCGAGACGATCTATCCATTCCGCAGCTGTGAGGTCTTCACTATTGCCTGAAAAGTTTTCTAATTGTGCCGAAGTGTCAGCGAGTTCTTCAGCTGCGAGTGTTTCATTATTCTGTGTGATTTTAACGCCAGCTCTACTGGCGGCACTTGTCATCCATCGGGAAAAAAGTTGAATCATTTGCTGTTCCAGATCCGCAGAGGCCATTTCCGCGTCTACGAAGCTTCGTTGCATTGAAATTTCTCTACACAGAAAACGAGGTACAATACAATGGCGTTCTCTTACGCAATGATTTGGTGAGTGCGCCAACAAAATTTTATTGTGAAGCAACTTCGGGGACGACCGTTTGCTGTTTGAACGTTGAATGCTTGAAATAGTCGAGATTCTATGGTGTATTTCGCCGCGATTATTTGTTCAATACACTGGAATATATTACTAGGCAACGGTGTTGTTCTAGAGATGTCCATAGGAAACATAACTTTCATTTAGCCCGTTGCCATGCACACATGATCTTGCTGCATGGACGTACGTATTGAAACGTATTTTCACACGCAGTCTACTGCTCCACTGGCTATATGACTGTCGTCATCAATGTTGATAGGTGGCGCCACATGTCACATTACTCTCACAATACGATTTTTTTGTCAACAGACTGATAGCGACAAACACCCCTATGTCCCCTATGATAACCACTCTGTTGCACAACGGATTTATGTAAAATCATTTTCTTCTTATTGAACTCCAGTAGTGTCAGGGAGCTTCTTTTTAGAGATATGTCAGTAATTTTTTTTATATCGTTTTAATTCGAAACGCGCGGGTTTCAACCACCCTACAAATATGCGAATGTGGTATGAAAACAGGATTGTCAGGTAGTAGTTATTATTTCCTTAGTCCTGTTTCCTACTTACACAAATGTACGTTTTGACATCTCTTTATTTTTTTGAATTTAAAGATAGTGAAATAAGAATAAATAAGAAAAGTAAAGTGTTTCTTGTGCCACCACACGAAGCCTATGGCCGCCTATTTAATTAGCATTCGGTAGATTGCAATCTTCGCTATTCTTAGTTTAATAAAAACTTTACAATGGCTAAATAATATTACTCAACATATAACAAAATAGAAGTTTCTTGAACCAACTGATTATTAGGTTATCTGGTATTAGAAAAAATGTAAACTGCTTGAACGCTTGACCTAGTATCGTTTTCTTAACGTTTCTTCACGGAGGATGTAGATACCATCGCTCAAAAAAAGACAACGGCCTTCATGTCACAGTTTACACGCAATATATCCTTTAAGAACAAAATTCGAACGAAATGTATGGATAAAACAGACTATTAGAGCAACTCGTAGTAGTGGTTAATTATATAGCGAAATGGAGGAAAATTATAAAATAGAATGGCCGGTTTTTTTGTTAACTTCAAACGTATGGGAAATTTAAAAAGATACATAGCTAACGAATACAGATAATATGAACTAAATGGACGGAGTGTATATAATTATCTACCTTTAGGTTGGACTGTCACCAAGCAATAACAAAAATAAATTCTAGACTCTTAATCAAGATGGTAATCGAGAATCTGCTGCGTAAACTTAGAAGTGGATTCGTTCACTTTCTAGATAAAGCACACATAGACGCCAGTGTAAACATAATACAAATTCAATAAGATGCTTTGAGTTTTTTTTTCACATTAAGACGTAAGATGATAGGGATTTCTCCAAGTTAAAAATCCAGCCTAAAAGTCAGTGCAGTCGCTCAGTACTATCGACGCTATAATCCTAAAACCTAAAAATTTACAACTGAGCAAAAAACAAAATATTAAACATACGGACACTCAGCTCAAATAATTGACCCTTAAAAAAAATAATGAATCCTTCTTGTTTTTCTAACTAACGCACGTTTTCGGCGGCTTTTAGGTCACGTGAAATTTGCGTCACAATGGATAGGCGATAATGCTTATATATGTAAGTTTCTGAAAAAAATTGCAGGTTAACCGCTGAGTTTGGTGCTAAAAGGGTCTTAAAATGTTCTTAAAATTGTAATACATTATATTAAAAAAATAATGAACATTAGACTAGTAAAGTACTAGTTATGGGACACAGGTATCACAAAAGAAAGCGTATTACCTAAAAGAACAATAACAGATAATATACTACAGGTCATTTAAGGGATTACTCGTAAATACAAAACCTTTAATGTGGTTTCACTTGTTTTACTCAGACTAAAAAAACAACACGTTGTTAACTTTAACAGTAGTATATATTTAGAAAATTTGACTTCTACAAGCATCTTGACTAATAATAAGCCCAAAAGCACATGTCTTTATATTGAAGCCGGTTTGAAAGGCAACATTGTAATCAACTTGATTACTCTTACTTGAAGATAAATATTCTTTAACGCTATATATATATATATATATATATATATATATATATATATATATATATATATATATATATCTGCTACGCCAATAAAAAAGTGGAGCCGCTAAACAACAATATATACCAATTTGCTATTAAAAATAACCATTACTATATATAAACTAACATTCGCTGAATCCTGCGCAAGCGTTCCTCTTCTAACATATCGAATAGACTATCTTGACCACAAATACAGGTTCGTAGATCGACGTCATCTAACTTCGGCATTGGACAGCCTAGATTGCTAAGCGAAACTAAGCGTTTTACAGGTTAACACTTCAAAGTCCTCGTAGGTCCATTCCTGCCCGCCGCAAGGAATCAAGCATTTCTGGAACTAGACAAAAATACACTGGTAGTACCATATTCTCACACAGAATATTTAGACACAGAAGGGAAATAATGTTCTTTTTTTCTATTATTTCACACACACGCGCTAGCGGACTAATTACAACATGCAATGAGCGAAAACCTATCATACTTGCAGGCATAAGTGAAACGTTTATAACTGAGTATGGTCGAAAAAAAGACTCCAGCAACTGGAAATTCGTCTGTGCGAACTAAAACGAGTTACGTAGATTTGAGGAAAGTGCTCGATATGCATGACAGCCCTAAGATGAATCTTTCCTTGCAGAACGGTATGTATTTGTGATGCACGAATGGTAACTAGGGTAATATATTTATAAGCGATTCTTGACAGCCGCGCATATGTGCGTTGCTATAAATGTATTGCTACTGTTATAAAATCATAGTTTGTGTTTTTCTATAAGCGATTGCGTGCACTAAATAGTTTCAAAACTACCTAGAAAAACAAAAAGCATCCGTTTCACCAGTTCGTTATACACATAGTATGCTACATAGAAAGAAGCATGTAATTGAATGAAGAACATTAAAAACAAGCACAAAAGAATTAATCAAATAAGAACTTTACAATGGCGCCAACATAGCATGACAACTTCAAGCTTAATTACCTCTTCTAAACTCTGAACCTTTCCATTTGTGAGCGAATCTTCATGACAAGCACGCCCAATATATAAAGGCTCACCCTTCTCAGTGATTCCACCCTGAATTGCGCCCGAGGGCAGCCGGCCACCGTCATACTTAATCCATTCGAGGTCGCAATCCGCCACCAACACCTGCCATTCAATGGTAAACCATTTTTTTCAAATTTATCATGGTTCTCAATTGCATGTTTCAATATTGGGATACGAGCACTTCAATGCCGAATGAACGTCAAAAAATTGGAATTACTTGAATTGTAAAAGTAAGCAAAAAATCGATTGAATTTTTCACTGACCTGGTATATCGTTCTTCGGATTTAAAAAAATTTCCGAATTTTTTTGGAAACGTAACCTCCTACTTCAAACCGATTATCCACATATTACACACTCCGGCATTGAAAGAGATATACACAAACTTGAAAACTAAAGGGTTTGAAATATGAGCACTGTTAATCTAGAATCTTATTAAGTGCAAAACATGTACTTGCTTCGAAATTTCGTTTAATGTGTTCCTCGCCATTATATCCCACAAAGGCAGCCCGGGACATAGCTACTGCCCGGCCTGGCACCATGGCTCCTTCATGGGATGCTCGAGCCACGTAATAGGTTTCACCGCTGGCATCGTAACCTCCCTTCACTGCTTTTTGCGGGATGCAACCGGCAAACGTGGCTTGCCATCGAAGGCTAAGCTGGTAAGGGGCATCTGAAGAATACCAAAAGCACAGAGGCAATAACTGAATACATAACTTATAATTGACAAACTGTAATTGTTTTCTATACTCATGTATATATTAGAGTTTGCTCTCTAAATATTTTTTTTTAAATAACAAAGAGGTTTTGTTGATTCTAACACATATAGTAACAATAGCTCAACGGAGTAACATGCTATCGATCGGAAATAGCCTATGATCTTGTTCATCGGTGATCGATTACTAAACTAAAAAATTTCATCAATAAAGAAAACAAGAAACCAGTTGAAGTGACAGTAGTATATAAAGCGAACTATTTAGTACGATTAAATAAAAACTATTTTGTATTACATTTCGCGGAAGTTCTACTAAAACTCTGAGTCATATAGCTCGGCGATATAAGTGTGACTCCGTTAGATGTTTACTAATTCCACTATCAGACGATAGTGAAAAAGGGGTTTTATAGAGCTATAGAATCTATGTAATTCAATGATACATATCACACGGTGGTTCCCTACAGTAACGAGAACTTTATTTGAATTCATTCACTCACATTTGCTATAAGAAGGCTTTGTGTGGTAAGTCGTGCATGCTATTTATAGGACGATACCTTCATCAGCATACGTGCTCAGTGATACCACCTATACTACGCGTGATTTACACGTCTTTACACGCATTTCAGAAATTGTTACTTTGATGAACTGCCTACCTTTGGTAGCATCAGTCGGTGATCCGTGGCACTTGATACGTTTCACGATATCCTTTAACAGGTCGGAAATATCGGTGTGTGTCCGACCATGCATTTCGTGCACAAGAAATTCGTATTCTGGGAGAAGGCCGCGTAGAATATGGCCCTTGATATCATCAGGCGTCATGCCGAGCTGTGCAGCGACAGCAGCTGACCTCCATACGAACACTTGCAAGTCTTCACCGTATTCCTGTCTGCAGCTAGCAAGATCTTCAACAAAATTGAGCATCCGCTGTTGTGGTAAAAACTCTTCAAGGAACTTTGCTTTCCATTCATCCAAGGTCTTCAATTTTCGTCCGCACTTCAAATGCCACAGTCTTGCCTGACCCGTGAGCTTTGCTAAAATGACACTCCACGACTTAGCCACAGACCAGTTGCCGACCTGCTTGGAGAATTCGAAACGCTCAATCCACTGTGTGGCCGATAAACCGCCATTTCCAGAAAAAAGTTCCAGTTGAGTGGCTGTATCTGCCAAGCGTTCGTTTGGGCCGGGTGCAACCTCCTGCTGCGAAACACCTGCGGCCGCAGCTTCTGTCATCCACTGACCGAAGAGTTGCGCCACCTTTGCTTGAATGTCTTTTGATTCCATTTCACTCCGATGGTGTTCTTTATCTAGCGTCATTTAAAACACAGTTGTACAAACTTGTACAAATGCTTCCTACAAATATCCTAAAAACATACAGATCACACTACACTATCCATGCGTTTCGCTATGGCTGCTATTCGCGAGAAACCTAAAGAAGCGAATGCTGCCCTGCTGATAATTGGACGCCCTCTCCTTCTACAGTGAACTTTTACCCGTACACACATAAAGTTGTTTTCCACTTTTATCTTTTCAACGGAAGAGTATCGTAGCAGTTTAGTGATCTACGAGTTATTAGGAGCAATTTTCCCTTTGCCTCGCAAATATAGAAGAACCAGCTATTTCATTCGCTTCACGGAAATTATTGCCTCTAAGCAGTGCTATCTATTTCTAAATAATCCTCAGCTGCTACAATGTCTGCCAACCAGCCGCTTTCGCGGTGGTTTCTATTAATATTTCACTAGGACCGGCAAAGCGTGGCCTTATTAAGCAACGTTAACACTTCCGATTTAGCAATTATATCGCACAACACTTTATTAGATTTCGGATCACGACTGGAAATTGGCTCAGTCTCATAGCGCTATATCACATTGTGACGCGAAGACCACTAACGTTCTATTTTCTAGCGTTTTGATCGCGGGCAGCCGTATCGGTAGGAGGCGTTGCAAGTCACTTCTCATAACCAGCCGTCTGCTCAGAGCTGAGAAAAACAGAAGTCCCTCTCTGGGTTTCTAAATGGTTACTTGTATGTCATGATTAAAATATGCCGTGGTCAATTGTGTTATATATTATTGTTGTTACCATTATTTTAAATAGAAAGAAGAATTAATAAACATTGCTGCTAGTGCATGGAAGATGTCAGTATAATGTGTTTTGCATAAATGGTTTACCTTCAGAGAAAGGTTGCGGTTAATAGCTAATTAGTTGGCTAGCCATGTTTAAAACTTGCTGAATAGTGTTCGAATGCTGCAGAATGGTATTAGCTGATGCCAGATAATTTACGGGGACGTCAAAAACGGCACCTCAAAGAATGAAATTAAAAGCAGCTTTCTTTCGCCAATATGGCGATTGACATTGAAGTTGCGCCGGTAGCTCTGCTCACTTCCAAATCTCTACTTACCCTCTTCGCTTTTTAATGACCTTTCCGTGTGTTGCATTCGTATTATGTGTAGCAATTATTTTAATATAATGATGTGACATTTTCGCCTGCCACTACCTGTCTGTCTTACGTTTTCGTACCTTTTCGTCGCAAATTTATTATTATTATCATTATTATATATATCGAATAACTTTACAACACGTTGCTAAATGCTTTCTTTCACTATCTGATATATGAAATAGACGATACAACAAAGAAATGTCGCAATTGAGTAGTTTTCGTCTTTCCAATTCACCAACTACCCAATTTCGACATAAAATTGGTTATGTGTATTTGTTAGGTGCCGAACCATACTGTAAATAAATAACAAATAAATATATGCGCAGTAGAGCAATTTTTGTCAGCGCTAGAGCGTGTGTTATTACTCACTATGTGATGGCAGTGAAGGCATCGGTCTTAGCGTTTTTTTTTTTGCTTTTTTGCGTAAATTTTACCTTCGTATGCACAATGGCTTTTAACTGTCGGATGAGAGTTGCTCATTAAAACTAATCGAGTGATTACTGGAGATGTTTTCGAAATCGTCTACACTGGAAAATTTATCTGCACGCATACAGACTTTACTCCCTCTAGAATAGAAGATTAAATCTATTATGCAAAGGTACCAACAAGAGACATTCTGAAGTCGGTTAGTCGAAATGATACTTTCATTGTTTAACACCTACGCCATTCACAATACTTATAATGAATCCCTCAATTTTCGGGGCATCCTAGGTTCCCTTTACTTATGGAAACGCAACTACGACAGAATAAAATCTCACAGATTAAAATACCTAGGACATAAGTTATAATATAGTTTAAGCTAAAGTTCGTCCACTTGAATTACACGTGCCCAAAAAGCAGCGGTCCCAATACATAACGTCTACAGATCACTTTTAGATTAATATCAGGCATAGGGCACGTATGATTTAGCCTTTTTTGGAAAGATCTTTCCTTATTTCTTTGTAGGTATTTCGTATACCAAGGCCATATAAGCTATCAAAGGCCACATATTTTAAGCCTGCTTTCAAAATGCCATTTTACTCTCAACAAAAGATGCACGACTAAAGTAGTAGAGTTGAAGGACATATTAATGATTCCAACTAACTCTAATTCATTCTACATGCGCGTAATCTAAGTCGTTGCAGCCGTAAAATCGGCATCAAATAATAGTGTAATTTTTGCTACAGTTTCAACAATTATCCTATAAGCAAGCATAGATTAAATTTGTCTCTTTGATGGCGCGTCCTGTTCTTCAGTAGATCTTACAAATGGTTACTGTACAAAGCATGTAAAATGAAATTGTCTACATTCATCTATGGAATATGATCAGATTGAAAATATATTCCAAGTGTCAGTATTCATCATAATTATGATGATACGTGCTATCTTTTGCTACAGTAATGGTAGGCTACAAACCGCGATTTTTATGATGTAAATTCAATATATGTGCTCCTTCAAACAAACATTTTATCTGATTTTATCTTCGAAATTTCTATTAACGTCTTGACAACTGCCACGTACGACGAATTGCCTGAACCCCACCAATGTGCCGCTACCGAACTTTTTCAAGTAATATTGTTCTGTATAAATGTTGTTCCCGAGTGAGACAAGTAGTCATACAATCGCGTAAGTTGGTCGAACATTGACTTTCAAGAAGTCCAAACGTTCCTTCATCTATCAAAAATTATTTAAATTAATGTAACGTTTTTCTGCGCTTTTCGTTTTGCTTATCGAAAATCGGCCCGGCAATTTATTCACCCTATTTTATCAGATCTAATAATTTAATGATCATGGTCATCGACGTTTCAGTTACGCGGCTTAGTTTAATTAATTCTTGAAACAGCCTTCGTCTATTGAGTTCTTGAACCGTCTTCGTAGCCTGCAAATTAACTCATTATATCTCCTCCTTTTTTTTTGGCCATGGAGTGCGTTGTGATGCGCCTATCATCGAACCATGCGTCACACATCTCGCCAAAAGTCATTCATGTAACACCAAACAATCCGAGCAATTCCTTCGTACGGTAGCTGTTCAGGCTTTTGCGTTTTTCATTCAAGTGACGCTAGTGCACAAAGTCAACGTGAACACTAGCATACACCGAGATCCTCTCATGCTATTTCTTGTTGATTCTAAAGATCTCGACCGTAAATCTGTTGTGTCACGTCGAATGAAAAGCTTTTCGTCTGCTGGTAATAATACATGTATTGTTGGTGACGCAACTATCGAGCCCCGTGTAGCGTTTTGCACGCTTTGTCAGCCTTCGACAGAAGGTGACCGGCTTTAGTTCTTGAGCCGTTAGTACAAAATACTCCTGTTGTCTAGTGAATTAGTGAGCTACACTTCGTGATGGTAAGTGTATAAATCAAAGAATTTTGACCAGCTAGTTCATTTTATTCGTCAAGTTGTGCATTCTTCTTGCTAGTGGTAACCTATAATACTTATTCCGATTCTTTATTGTTACGCTATAGTTTAACAGCATCATCATTTAGAGCTGCAACACGGACAGCATATTATCTGTGAAGTTATCTGATTTAAAAAAGTCAATTTAACTTCTCGTCATCGATACTAATGGTTCGATACTAACGACGGTTAGTTTAACAGAAACCTTACTTAGGACAACCCAAGGAATGGCCTGTGCCGCTCCTCTGCTTGTCAGTCATAGAGGCATTTACGTTATTTATGTAAAGTACGTCACGTATGGGACTTCCTAGCAGTGAATCTACCTTGAGCAGGTCGACATAATTAGTTTAACTGCTACTAAGATTGTCAATTACTCTTATGAATTTTCATATCGACTTCAAGTCTTAGTGTTTTTCTTTTCAATTAAACGTACGTTGGATTAGAGAATCTGATCGACGCCAGTTTGGGACATCTTTAGAAACGAAACACCGCAACCAAAGAACCATTATCCGACGCGAGTTTGGTAAATTATATAAATTAAGCATCGATCTATGTAGCCCATACACGCGACAACTCAACTTTTCATCCAAGTACGATTGTCAAGTTACGTTTCACCGTAGGTACCACAGGAAATCTTTCCAAACTGTTAACTACTAACCATTTTTATTTAACGGATAGACCGCCGATGTAACAGATAAACTTCATCTGCAGTGCGCTATGCTTAGACGTTAGGGTACAATAACTTCGAGTGTGTTGGTGAAGAATGTGTTGAGACGTTGTGGTCCTCATGTATACACATCATTTTTATTTATTTAGATTTCTGATTAGAAAATAATCGCTAATGTCCTGTTATTTACGCGCATGTTTCCAAATAGACCGTGCCGACGTCACCAACTGAACCAATTCAGGTAACAGGTGTGATTAAGAAGACCTTCCCCTCCAAGCGAGAGCCGTATGGATTCCTGAAACTGCTCACCCCGTTTGAGAAACGTGGAATGGAAGCAGCTTTTTTCTACCATGACATCAACATCCCACAATCAGAACGTGACTACATACAGCCGGGCTTGATGATGCAATTTACAATCATCAAAAAGCCGGAGGACCACATGAGCAGTCCAGTCTCATTTAAAGCGTTGGACATTACACCGGTCGAGGTCATAGAGCAGCCCGCATGTGTCGTGCGTGGGCCCCGTGAACATGGCAAGGGCATCATCGTTTCCTTAGATTACTTCCCGACCAATATGCATATTACAGCAGCGTCGTGGTCAGAATTGTGCGCATCGGAGCCGATATTCAGACCACTTTTACCAGGAGATTACGTGGTAATTCGTTCGACCTGGAGAGAGATTCTCCAGGCAGCTAAAGAAAAGCGGTCTCCTGTGGCCGAGCTAGTATCGCGACTCGAACGACTTCCACTTACTGTCCGTAGCCAACGTTTGAGTAATAAGCATCGCTCCTTATCGAATCCTGTGCTAGATAAAGATACAGATAGTGAAACAGGGGCCGGCACTCCAACTACAACAGCAGCAACTCATACAGCTCAAACTGAGGAGCCACAAAAGACAGATAGCAAGAAAGATGATGGCAAACCGACTTCACTAGAAGGAGAGCCTGAGGAAAATGACAAGGAGCCCGAAGATATCATACAGCAGGACGTGCCAGCTAAAACCAGCTCTACGCAGCAGCAACAACAACATCAACAACGAACCGATAGCGGCGAACTTGCCTGTGGAGCTGTTCAACCCGTCAAGGACAGTGGCTACGCAGTCGACGAAGGTGTCCAGCTACAGCAAGCAGCTTGCCTCGAAAGGCAAGGTTGGAAACGTGGTGGACCCCAAACGCATGCGCCAACAGAGCGCAAACGGGCAAGAAGTTGCGGAAGCGGACTTCCACATCAAGCGTTGTTTAATCAGACGCTCTTTACAGAGGAACTCGTTCGACCTATGCATGCTACTGATGTTGATGAAAGTAACCCGTTGTCGCAACGCGTCAGCTCGCCTTTGCACGACCGGCCCTTCCTGCCCCAGTTCCATTCGCATTGCCCGGCTGGTGGGTTTGTAACATGTGAGAACGGCTGCAGCCTACCAACATGGGCCCAAGCTGGAATATGGCCTCATTGGCTACAGATGCCTTTCAGAGGACAATACTCATCTTTTCCAAGCCGTATGACGTTGGCGGACTATATCTATAATGGCGGGAAACTTTGAGCAAAATTCTAACACGGTGTGTGTATGCATAATGTATGTACGTACATATACTAAAAAAAAACATTGCCTATTGGCATTAACGTGCAGCCATAGTAGTAATATGTTTCTATTTATGTCGCAAATAGCTTTAGTTAAATAAATAAACTGCTGTTCACCTGTAAACAGGGCCAGGTTTTTAGTAGTTGATACAACTCCTATGAAATGAAAATGATTATCATTATTTTGACTTCTTGTTGAATAAAGTGGTTCTCATTCTTAATTTTTAATTATACGCCCCTTGCTTTTCCATTCATCTTTATATTAGGCATTGTAATGTTCGAAAGCTTTCTAGCAGCAAAGTTTACCTGAATATTTTTTATGATCTGGTTGCGCAGAGAAAACGTTCTATGCTCGGACAAAGGTCGAAGTACTTGCACACTTGTCTTACAGCCCATGTGATTATAAGACGAAACAGTTATGTATATTATACGATTTCATAGCAACTGTTTGTTCATCAATGCGATGGTGACACAAATACAGGGAAACAGTATAAAAGGTGGGGAGATTAAGAGCATGTAGTGACCGTTTTAGACCAGCACAAGTAAATGACGGCGAACAAATTTACAAAAACCTAAAAGTAACGCTTTTTTTTCCTTTTCATCTTTATGCGACCCGACAAAGTAAGTACTTTGTTATTTGTTAACTGACAGTCAATATGGGCAATCGAGTAATTTTATGTTGCTGCTAGTTATCACTGTTGCAGCCTGAGTCATGTTCAGATCGACTCCTAGTACCATCGATGGCTCACGTGCCAGACGGGGTATACCAGACAAAGCAACATTGCGCTTTTTATTTAATTAAGATAATCAGATACTTTTGGTTTACTAAAGCAATGACGAATCGTAGCAATAGACCATTATGAATGATAAACGATGAGATGAAGACTGCAAACGCGCAAAGAATAGCAGACTTTGTTTACCAGAAACATCATCAGCGTACTATGAAGCTCGAGTTGTCTAGTCACTCACAGTATGATTTACATCACTGATTGGAAAATCATTTTCGAATACAAGTGATCTGCACAGTATTTTTATTTCGATAGTAACACCGTAACGAACATATCTCTGTACTTAAAATGACCACAACGACGCGAAAAACAAAAAGTAGTAGTTGGTATTTTACTACTTTAGCTCTCAAGGTTACCGCAATACACAAGCGCTATTGTCAATGGATACAATTTATTTATTAAACAATTTGATAAGTTATTATTAACACAATTAGGTATCATAGTTTATTCCGTTGTCCGAAGAAGTGTCCACGAGTGAGGGGCGCTCATCCGAGGGGCGCTGCTATTTTACTACTGCGTTATCCCACTTTCGCTTTCCATTTTTGTTTTTGGCCCTCTTCACCATTCACCATTTCCCATTGGCCCACTGAAATTTCCGTTATTTCTTCCCTTTTAAACCGCCCACATTCTGCTTTTAGCAAGTAGTTCTCTTCAGTTCTTCCAAAGCCCCGCAAAAAGCCCGCCTCGCAAAATTCACGTATCTGTGTTTTTACGACCCCCTTGCGCATTCGTTTTGTTTCTTGACCGTTATCATCTACATATTTTTGTCTGTCATTGGTCTTCTCCCAGAACATTAAAAATATTCTGCATTCGCGTTTCGCGTCTGCGTTCTGTGTCTTGTTCGACCACTTCATGTTTGTACCCCCAGAACACGCTTTCGTCTTCTGTATCTTGTAAATTCTCTTTATCTCTCTCTCTCTCGCTCTTTCTTTCTCTCTCTCTCGCTCTCTTTCTGTGTGTTTTTCTTCCTCTCTGGTTTTTCATTTTGTTCCTAACTTCATTTCTCTCGCTCAGCCTTTATATATAGGTGTTTCTCATCATATACTCAACTGCCTGTATGCCCGTAGGTTTTGCGCGGTAGTTCAGGCTTCTAGCTAAGTTTTCAAAAGTCAGAATCAGCAACGAGTCCCTCAACCCGGCATGATTAGTACCAACAGCACATTTTTTCTGCGTGTCCACTTATTTCCAAGATCATCGTTACCACCTTGATCACGGTTATGATGATTTACCCCAAAATGGTCTTATCTAGTGTCTACTTCAGCTTTTTCTGTTTGTATGAATAATATCATTTTATATAATCACGTTTCCATTATGTTCTGCTCATCATTAAGGTTTCTCTTTTCGTCATCACTTTTTTTTTAATCATCGTCATTAATATTGTCATTATCTTCACCATTCATCACGTTATATATCGCGTGTTTATATATATATATATATATATATATATGCAATAATAGCAATAATTATTTATAATAATTATAGTAATAATGCTTATGTTCACCATCGTCATCATTGTCATTCATATTATTATTACCATTATCTTATTGTGTGTGATGTAAATTATCTACCACCAACCTGTTCTATATA